TAAACCAAAATATGCATTTGGTACACCTCTACTAAAAACCAAGTTCTTAGCCTGTCCGTTAAATAACAGCATTATTATAGTAATTGTTTAGGAGGATTATGGTGAAGAGCTAATAACCTAGTCTAATTGGTCAAATTTAATAGGCAGAATTAGCAGGAGGCACAAGAACAACTAACTGCTCTGTACATCAATAAAACAATTTGTTTAAAATGACATTTGTAGCAGAACTTCATGAATGCAACCTACTTCAGACTGATTAGAAAGCTCTGTTGGACAAACAGTAAAAATTCAGAAATTTTTTAGAGAGAACAGCAGTTAGTAAATAAAGAATTCTAATATTATTATTTTTTAAAACCTAAAAACTTTTCAGGGGTACAATAAGTCTTTAACACACCTTAACATACTAGAGTACTTTAATTTGACAAACTGGGCTTCAAAAGATATAACTTAAAAGTACATCTCCCATGCCTTTATGAACAGAAAATACATGAAAATAGTATATAGGAAAATTATAATTAAGAAAAAAAGACAATAAATTGCAAAAACACACTTTGTTTTGTCTTTCCCCCTTAAAGTTAGGCAAAAAGTCTTCAGTGTTTAGGAAATTTATGGAATTATTAACTAGCTTATACCCACAGTAAGTAAACTTTGGAACTAGTTCCTCACTCATGCAAAGCAAATCATTTTCTAAACATCTAACATCTAGGAAGCATTCTTTCTTACCTATAATAAAGTAATACCAAAACATAAACAAGTAGCTCAGTCCAAAGTGCGTTTTTAGTTTTTAATCAGGATTATTCCTTATTAATTTCTATTCTTCCTATTTTAAATATGAAGAAAAATCAAGTAAGCCAAGTTATTGGCTGAGTTCACTAGGAAGAGTATTATTAGAATTGGGAAACTGCTGGTTGAAATGAAAGGAGCTAAAACTAATTACATATTAAGTGATCTTTAAATTAGAGGAGAGAAGACACTTTACAGGCCTATTTTAAACAACTGAATTTAAGTACTGGGCCTAATACTTAAATTCAATTGTTAAAATGCTCTGATACTCCATGAGCTGCATTTCTTAAATCACACAGATGGCCTCCCTTCAACTGTAGTTCAGTTATCATAAGTCCGTGCGGCAAATAAATGTGAGAATTATCATGAGAGTATCGCAGAGAGATTTCAGGAACCACAAAAAAAGAGAAATTACTCTTTCGATAACAAGGAGTTATTAAGATACCACAGAAAAATCAGCTCTATTTGTAAAAATCATAGGTATATACATATATCTATATATACACATACACATACATATATCATATATATGATACTGGTCACATGAAGAAGCCCATCATAGACCGTGTATATTATGTTAGTCACTTTAGAAGGGCTCGCTTGCCCACTGCTCACCTCCTGCTGTGAGGCCCGGTTCCTAACAGGCCGTCGCAGACCGGTACCGGGGTTGGGGACCCTGCTGTAACTACATAAAGAAAATACAGGAAGTTCACATTTCCTCAAATAGAACGTCAAACTGTCAATACGCTTGTCTCTAACCACAACTGTCAAATACTCAAAATATTTTGGAGGGCCACAGAACTGAAGAGTGCTTTTTCACCATGTGAAAAACAGGTATGATTTTTCCCCAAAGGAAAAATTTGAAATGATTTTTACTAAACAAAGTTTTGTTTGTTATTCTAGTTAAACATGATTTTATTTAGCAATATTAATGACACAACTTTTCTAGCTAAGCAATTATACCTTTTTCTATTCAGATATTCCAAACTTACTTGTCTGAATATAGAAAGTTTTAATTGCTTCACCAGTGGGGAAACAAAAGAATATATCTAGCTCATAGCTTAAAGTCTTGAGCTGGTTCAAAAGTTTTAAAACTTGTGAACCTTGAGTTTTATACCGTTTTATCAAAGGGTATAAAAATGCCTTTACTGAGTGTTTTCATTATAGATATCTTTCTTGCATGTGTTTAAGAAACTTGATTTCCTATTTAATGTATTCAAAGATTTGATATGCTCGGAGTTGTCCACTATATGGACAGGAATCAAGATATCCTAAGTCTCAGCCTGGTGTCAAGCCACCTTTAGGACTAATAAACAATTTGAAAATGTTCTTATTAGAGAAACTATGTTGGTGGATCTTTGTTACCATTTCAGTACTTTTTTTTTTTTTTGCTATACGCGGGCCTCTCACTGTTGTGGCCTCTCCCCTTGCGGAGCACAGGCTCCGGACGCGCAGGCTCAGCGGCCATGGCTCACGGACCCAGCCGCTCCGTGGCATGTGGGATCTTCCCGGACCGGGGCACGAACCCCTGTCCCCTGTATAGGCAGGCGGACTCCCAACCACTGCGCCACCAGGGAAGCCCCATTTCAGTACTTTCTTATCTCTCTCTGTTTAAAAAAAAATTTATCTATGAAGCTAAAGAATAACTCCCTAACTACAAATGAGGCTTAAGTTATTGGGCCCAAGGGTAGAGTTAATTTTTCCGTTAGAGTAATAAGGAGGTATTTATCACTCAACTATTCTACTCAGAAACTAGCACAGGCTTGTGTACTGGAATTCAATAGTAAATACACAAAAAAGGAATTTCATTCATCAGCGCTAGTAAAAAGCGCCTCCTGAGTTTCAAAAAGCTCTAGTGCTTTTTGGCTCAGTGACTCATATAGGTGGACAGGATCAATACCAAATGATCTTAAGTTAACCAAGAAGACCTAACATTAAGTTGGAAAGTCTTTCAACACATATTTTAAAGAAAAGAGTAAGTAAATAATTGATACAACAACAAAGATGCTTAATAATTATGCAAAACAAAAAAGGATATAATTTAAGTTAAAGAACATTATGGAGAAAAAGAACCACTTCACAAACTATGATCCCCATGACAGACAAAAGTAAAAGGAAGCAGAGGAAAGAAGATCGTCACAAGTCTGGCATTTGTTCCTTTAAAATACTAAAGATAAGTTTACTTCTATTTTATCTAATAACTTTTGAAAGCTGCATTCAAATTTCAGCTTTTAGAATAATGGAACAAAAACACCACTGCTCGAGTAATGTTCTGAGAAAAGTTAATATAGCTTTCTAAAGTATCTAAGCTATTTCTTGGGAATACTTGCACACCAGGGGAAAAAAAAAAACCTACCCTTACAAAAATATACACACATTTAGACCGTGCACTCTGCGTATTGTTAACATTACCTTCCCAGTACACCTCTCTACACAGTGTGACACCCTATTATAGAGAATCAATCACAATCTCCTTTGGATTAGAATTAGTGATGTTTTTGAAGACCATTTTGCCATTTGATAAGCTTTTGTACAGATTTTTGAAGAACTTCCTCAAAGGATAAACAACTAGTTTAGATGCATAACAAGCCTAATTCTTTTATATCCAAAGCTGCCATAATAACTTCACAACTAGTTTCTTTCACTTGTCTTTCTAAACCATTCTCCCACTTAGCTTTGTTCCACTTTCTCAGGTGTCCAAGCCTAAATGAAGCCGAAGAAAAAGCAAGTGACATGAACAACTGGTCAATGATTTCTTAATGCAATTCAGATACCTGTGTATTATGGTCAAATTTCAATTATTTAGGAACTTTACCCAGACAGATGAATTCTCCTGTTCATATTTAGGACATTTTCTCTTCAAAAATGATTCCACCAGAGGGTAAGAAAAATAGAGGTAACTGACCCTATAAAGACTACATTTGTTTCTAGCTCAAGTTTAACAGGCAAGCCATTTGATGAATAAGAACTATTTTTTATTATTATAATGGATAACTTTAATTCATAAGTTTAAAACTGGTGTTTCTTGGAAAGGATGTGACCTGAGGACACATTCTGTTTAGCTTGTACAGTGCTAGAGAAGCAAATGTAATCCACCATTTAAAAAACAGATGTCACATGAAAAGTTAAATTTCTAGCTTCCTCTTCCCACCAGATAAAAAGATTTGGCAGTATGTGGCCAAACTGCCACACAGAAACAACTGGCTAGAGGAGAGTAGTAGCTCTCCCCTTTCAATGGGACAGGGCTCAGTCCCCACCATTTGCTGCTATCACTAACACCAAGGTCAAATGTCAGTAGCCATTTGTCATCGATGTTTACCTTTTTTTTTTTTTTTAATTACTGAGAATATTTCTTTGGACTCATGAAGAAATAAAAAATATACCTAAAGGGCCATGTGTTTCTAGGACACATGAAAGAATACTATTACATTTTCAATATACAAGTAAAATTGGTCTCTGCCAGAGATTACAACTTAAAATGCCATGATGAAATAAACCACAGAAAGACATTATTTGTATTAATTCTAGGAACCTACTAGAATTTGAGTGTTTTACCATGCAGTAATTCATAGGACAGATGAATTTTTTGTGACATTTAAAAGTACAATGAAGCCTTTGTTTCACTGTTCTTATGCTCATTTAATTAACAACCATATAGGCTATCTGCAAATTGACATGTTATTTGTTGCTGGGTTCTAAGAATGTTTTACAGTGAAAAGAAACTTCTGTTTACAAATATTTATTAAATTTCTAAAATCAAATATCTGAACTTTATTTTTCTAAGGCCAGATTTCATTAAAAGATTTTTTTATTGTTTTAAGTAAACCCAGTATCTAGAGAAAATAATTCTATTTATATAGACAGTGTTTATGTTTTAAAGCTGCTCCTGGTATTAATATAAAGTAATAAACATGAAGGTATTTTAGCATTGTATATTTTTTAAATGTTCATAGCAAAAAATATTAAACCGTACCATTATGTTGTTTCTTGTTTTTGGTATTGATTAACATGGACAACCCTTCAACAATTAGTCCCATTTAGTAAATTTGACCGTTTTGTATTTTTAAACATTGTTATTTAATGTTGACTAATTACTAATTTTATATGCTACTTATCAATGCTTTGCTCATAATTTTTCTAAATAGTTTTGGTTTATACTACAGTAATGATTTTTAATTTTTCCCCCACAGATAAAGCAAGTTTTCAATTTTGTTTACCATTCTCATTGCTATAGTTCATCAGCATGCCACAAAAGACAGTCAAGAGCTTCTCATTGGCGGGATCTGTTTTACTGCACAGTGACCTTAAATGGTCAATTACAATCTGTGCACCACCTGCTTGGTCAACTGCACTTCTGCCCTCATCTGTAAAACAAAGAGTCAAATTAAAAAGAAAAGAAAAAAGAAATGTACCTTACAATTTCAAATACAAAACATAACAGTTATTCCTTATTTAGTAAGTAGAAAATAAACCTAAGTAGGGCATTAAATATGACTTTTCGGAAAACAAAACAAATAAACATGGAAATGGGGGTGGGATGGGGAAAAGAGACAATCACTTTTTAGGAGAAAAATGATTATTCTCATTGGTATCATATAGGAACCTAAAGAACTTCTGTGGGTCCTAAGATTTTATTACTATCACATGTGAAATATTCTGCCTCCTCTTTCACAGATGACAACTCTGTGTAAGAAGAAAAAATAGGAACTAATATTCCATTGGAATATTTTTTTTCTCAGCTTGGAAACTACTAAATGTATCTTTCCATCAGTGGTTTCAGTCAGTTATTACCAAAGATAACCATCTGCAACACAGTATAATTTTAGATTACAATATGTAATTCCTAAAGATTAGTACTAGGCTCTTCTACTGGCATTTTCAATAGCACATAAGCATGTTCCCTTTTTCAATTCTTAGTAGTTTGTGTTTCATTTTTCCTTATTCTCTCCATTCAAGAGCACACCAATACACTTCAACATTACAACCAGTGGTCAAATGGTCAGACATACCTTCTATTTATGTGTACACCTACACTACATAGAACAGATGTCATTTAATTGTTGGAACATATAAACTGCTTTAAAATACTTTCTAACCCTTGAACATAGAATTGGAAAGAGATGAAAGAAAGACTATATCTTTCTAAATCTGACTTCCTTATATAAAATATGACAGACTCGGGCTTCCCTGGTGGCGCAGTGGTTGAGAGTCCGCCTGCCGATGCAGGGGACACGGGTTCGTGCCCCAGTCCGGGAAGATACCACATGCCGCGGAGCGGCTGGGCCCGTGAGCCATGGCCGCTGAGCCTGCGCGTCCGGAGCCTGTGCTCCGCAACGGGAGAGGCCACAACAGTGAGAGGCCCGCACGCCACCCCCCCCCCAAAAAAAAAAAAAAAAAAAAGACTCTAGAACAGTGCTATCCAATAAAAATATGAGAGTCACAAATGTGAGACACCTACATAATTTAAATTTACTAGTAGCCACATTAAAAACATAAAAAGTGAAAAATTAGTTTTAGTAATATATTTTACTCAATCCAATATATCTAAAATACTGATCACTGCAATACACAATCAATATACAAATTATTAATGAAATATTTTACATCTCTGCTTTGTAATAAATCTTTGAAATCCAAGTGTATTTTATATTTTACACTTACAGTTCCATGTCAATTCAGACTAGCCACATTTCAATTGCTCAAGAGTCAAAATGCCTAATGGCTGCTATACTGGATCTTGCAGCTATAGAAGCACAACAGAAGGATCACTAAAAGAAATGGCTCACAAAGGACTTAGAGCTATGAAATTAGTGAGTAAATGAAAGATTTTCATTTTCCTAATAACAGAACTGAAACTAAGGTCATATCTTTATAACTGTTGCTGAACCATATTAGAAAATGAGGCAATACATATCATTTCCTGTGATAGAAATACACACACACAACCTATATAGCAGGGCCTCATAAATACTAGCTTCATAATTTTGCAAAATTTTAAGGAAATCCATACTAAAATGAAACAAAACAGTTTTGTTCACTTAAGTTTTGTATCACGTCCACTTGGCTTTATTCTATGATTTTACAGATGCAGAAAAGGACCCTATGCTAATTAGCTAATAAGATCACAGAAAATTCTTAAGTGCCAAGGTAGCTAGTCACATGAGCCAGCCAAGTACATTGGTCCTATCTCATTTAGAAATCTAATTTCTAAAGTTTTCTTTTCCAATAACATAAATGTAAATTATCTAAATTGTTGGGCAATTTGTAGGAGGATCATGTCAGAAAAAACTAAATATTAGGATGACAAATCTAAAGGTTCAGACCTTCAATACTATGCATATACAATATATATCCCATCCCTAAACTGCAAAGCTCAAATAGTTTTTGATTCTAACTGTTGAGTAAATATGGGCTTTCAAAATATAAATCGTGTATGCTTAGAAAGCTAAGCTGGCTTCCTATCAACACTCAGGTATTCAATATTCAAAACATCAAATAATTCAATAAATTTTCATACAAATTTATTCAACAAATTTGGTCATCAAACTTAATAATGCAATAAATAAGAACAAAGCTACAATTAAAAGGCAAATTACCTACTTGTGTTTCAGAACCACAGTATTTCGCTTCCCTTCCTTTGCTTCCTTCTTCGTTCCCTTCCTCCCTCCCTGCCCTGTTTGGACTACAAGATAGCTATGTGTTATCAAGGGTTGGCTGAAGGGCATAAGCTCAATTTCTACATTAGAAATTATTGATACATTATTACCAAATTTGAGAAGAAAAGAAAAGCACATATAATAGAAGATATCTGACTCAAGGAGAATTTTATTAAAATATTTTAAAGAATCTGAAGATGCAAAGAAATAATAAAGCTTTTTTTTTTTACTGGAGTATAGTTGCTTTACAGTGTTGTGTTCGTTTATACTGTACAGCAAAGTGAATCAGCTATATGTATACATGTATCCCCTCTTTTTTGGATTTCCTTCTCATTTAGGTCACCACAGAGCATTGAGTAGAGTGTTATAATGCTGTGTTCCTTTATTCTACCAAAACCAGTGGGTAAGTTTTTAAAGGCATCTTACAAATTATTTAAAATACATATTAGAACATCTGTCATTACACAAGTCCATATAAACTGTGTTTCCGCAGTAAAGGTAACCCTATAGCTTTATGTTATGATATTAAAATGAGTATTATTGTTCACTTAAAAATAATTTCCAAAAGGTTCCTTATCCTAAACGTTCATATCCCCAAATGTAGGCTCACTTTTAACTCTTCTGATAATAAGTGACTTCTAATTTGTGAAGCATCCTGAGCTGTCACTTCTAGAAATATAATTTACATTTTTATTTTCCATAATTATGAGGTATCCAACCACTGGGGAAAGTGCAGCCCACCAATTCTTTAAGCCCTGCTACATTCTTTAATGATGACCTGTCACACAAAGTAGTTGCCAGCACAAATATGATCTTTCTTCACACTAGGTAAGAGCAGGGCTTTAAATCTAATGAGATACTGCACTTTAAACCTAACAGGTGGTATTACTCTTCAGTAGTCAAAAAGATATTCAGTAGCCAAAAGCAGGAAGCAATAAAATTTGTATGTCATGTTTAGTATGCCTCACAAATGAGAAAAAAATGAGAACAAGTTGGTATTCCATTACCAAGTACAAGTTATACGCTAAGGCTGAGGAAAGGACCTAAAAACAACCTCTGAATACAACTACCTGATGGGTTATAGTATATCCTACGTTCAGATTTGCTTGTATCTTTCCCCAAATGCTTAGTACACAGCAGGCACTCAATATTTATGGAATGGATGGGGCCTTAGGGTAGATTTTGGTAAAGTATGATTCACCTTGGGGATGAGAGAGAGGGAGGGAGAGGGAGAGGTGAGAATGAAAATCATTTACTTCTTTTTTAATGTTTAAACCACCACAATATGGTTTGGCTTTGCTTTTTTTGAACTTTATTTGAATGAACTCATGTTATATTCATTCTTTTTGTGCCTTCTTACACTCAACAGTATGTTTATGAAATTCATCCACTCTGCTATATGCTTCTTTGCTGTACAATATTCATTGTATGAACACATAGTAATTATTTGTCTATTCTTTTGCTGATTATTACCTGGGTTGTTTTTAGGTTTGGGCTATTATTTATAATACCCAGGTGGTATTGTTGGTTCATAGAATCTGCACATCTTCCACTTTTTTAGATAATGACCAACAGGCTTCCAAAGCCAGTGTACATTCCCTCCAGCAGTGTGTGAGTTCCTGCTGCTTCACTCCTTCACTACCACTGGCATTCTATTTGATTTTTTTTTTTTTTTTTTTTTGGTGGTACACGGGCCTCTCACTGCCGCGGCCTCTACCGCCGCGGAGCACAGGCTCCGGACGCGCAGGCCCAGCGGCCACGGTTCACGGGCCCAGCCGCTCTGCGGCACGCGGGACCCTCCCAGACCGGGGCACGAACATGCGTCCCCTGCATCGGCAGGCGGACTCTCAACCACTGCGCCTCTAGGGAAGCCCTCTATTTGATTTTTAAATCTGATGGGTGAGGTTGAACCTATTGCAGAATATACAGGAGCAGGTCTTTGCTGACAGTTTCCTTTTCTGTACATTCAACAAGACAGTTAATTTAGTTCAAGAGTATGTAGCATGTACATGGGGAAACAAACAGTTCATGTTGAGGGAGGCAGAAAAAGAGAGAGATAAATGGATGCATACATGCTAGAATTTGAAAGAAAAAAATGGAAAGAGAGCCAAGTAGCTACTAGAAGCTGACTATCAAGCCTGTGTAATAATATGACTGGATAAGCACAATTCTAGAACTTTTTTATACTCTTGCTTATAGAAAAGCCTTACAATAATATCAGCAAATACACTGTTGTTGTTTTTTTTTTTATCATTTCAATAATCACCAGCTTTCTGAAAGGAGAATTTAGAAGGCTTAAATCTTTGAAAAGACTAAGGAGGAAGACTGGGGAAGCAGCACGGTGTTGGATGTCAAAGTGGCCCATAATTTGCAATAGCAAATTTTATCTAAAATTAATTTTTAAAAATAATTTATTTTTATAATCTAGAAGTCTATGTTTTCCAGGCTACCTTCCACTTTTGTGGTTTAAACATCACCTTCTTTCATATTTCTTCTCAGAAATTCTCAGTATCATAATTCTATTTTTAAAGAATTATGCCTACATACATATTTGATATGTTTTCCTCCCACCCTCTACTTATTTGTATAATAACAAGATCTTCATTCCTTATGCATCCATCTGCTCAAGCTACTTATTTCCCCCCAGAAGTAATAATCCTCTGTGACATCAGGAGTGGTTGCTGTGGTGATGGTTATGATGCACCACC